GAGTATTGTCATGGCCAGGCTTACATTGTGTCCAGCAGATTTTCTTCTAAAATGAAAGACTTTTGGAGAAATACACACTCTGCTCTGTCTGTGCCTTAAACATTTGGTTGAAAAAAATCAGTGGCTCTGGTGGGGATATCAGTTGCATTATGCACAATTAAGAAAGTCTGCTCTTTTTTCCATTTACTATGATAATTACTTATATAACTTGATACTATAATTTCTGTTCTTTTTCAGAACAAAGAAGAAAGGCATGAAGAACTAAAGGACATATGTCATTTTCAGTGGACAGGCAGACATGGTGTTTTTGAGGCACTTGCTTTGTGTTTAGATGATATAAATAATGACAAAAATGTTAGCTGGGATAATTGTATAGTTGACCAAGTACTTGTATTTTATAGTGTAGTGACAGATTTTTCTTTTACTATCTCCATTTTTATTTAGAAATGTCTTATCTTTTACAAAAGCCTTTGGGAAGAAGCTCCAAGAACACACTTCTGATGTCTTTTTTGAAGTCAGTAGCTTGTCTCAATGATGTGATAAAAAAATTGATGTTTATCATGAGTCTTAGTTTGATGAAGACCCAAATTTGGCAACCAAACTTTATATCAAAATGAAACTCTTTGGGAAATTTCATAGGGATCAATAAGGTAACCTGGAATATCAGCTGACCTGTGAGTTAATATGAATAAACCATGGATGTCCCAACACCGGAAGACATTTCTCAGGAACTTAAAGATATATTCTCAGAACAGCATCTCAAAGCTTGTAAATACTTATCTCTGGTACCCTAGGTCATGACCAGCTTGATTTCAACACATCAGAGGAGCATCATGCTGACATGTGCAGAAATGACTTACATAATCCTGACACACTCTCAGCTGAGCTTCATTGCTGCAGAATCAAATGGAAACACAGGGGGAAAGACATAGGGCTTCCAACTACCATTTATGAAGCCCTCCATCTGCCTGAACTCGTTTTTTCCTAATGTGTATGCCTTGCTGAAGGTCCTGTTTGTATTCTTCCTGCGATGAAGGTTGAGCATGAGCGCTATGAAAGTGGATGAAACCACCCCAAAGAATACTTGGGGGATACTTTGACAGAGCAAAGATGAAAGGACATGATTTTGTTTGACATGAATTTTAATGCAAAGTATGATCTGAATTTAATTGCAGACATATATTAAACAGTATACATAAGTATCTCAGTTTACAAATTTAGTTCATTCCACAATTCTGGAAAGAGATGGTCGCACTCATGGTCATATAGGAAAGATTGGCCATGGTCATTTTGTCACCCAATGCAGAGTTTGGAAACAATAACAAAATTTTGCCAAATGCTTCTGTTTGCAAACCAAACTGTTTACAAACAAAAGCATTCATGAACCGAGGTACCATTGTACAAAGCTTCCTACAGATAATTCAGAAACTAATGAAAATATCAAAGAGACTTTTAAAATGGGCTTTTTAATATACTGTATTTGCTGTTTGGAAGAAAAGCTGTAAGATGTATGTATGTGTGTGTGTGTGTGTGTGTGTGTGTGTGTGTGTGTGCGTATTCCCAGGAGACAGTGTTGGAAGCATCATGCTTCACTTCTGCTTGAATGCTACTGGTGGCACTATAGAATTGTTTTAGTTAAGGCGTTTTAGACAAAACATTGACACTAGGGATCTACTTCTCAGGTATTGTTAATTTTTAAGGAAATTCATTTTGGAGAAATGTGGGAGGAAAGAATGTGTCTTATAACTTGTTATGCTGAAGCTTACCACTGATCTGTGAGTAACAGAAATTTTAAGTGTATTACTAAAAATCTGTAATAGGTAAGGGAATTACTGTAGAAGGAAGTCTATGAGCTCCCCAGATTTCAGTGTACATTTTGTTTTTATCAAATGAATGTAAAAGAAGAGATTTAAGTTAAAATTTGCATGGAAGAACTTGCCATTGTTCTCCATCTAGTTATTGCTATTTGCATTCCTTTGTTAAGCCTATATCTTTGTAACTTCTTAGCAGGAAAATGTTGAAAATTTCTGCACCATGGTCAAGACGGAATCAGAGGCCATTCATACAGGCAATTGATTTTTCTCCTATTTTTTCCCACAACTTGTCTACTGCCTCATCTTGATTTACAATAAAAAACTTGAAAACTTATGAAATGAATGTTTTAGTGGTTTATTCACAAATAATATACATAATATTGTCATTTTTGGCAAAGAAAATTTTGTGTAGTTTATTTCTATTTAAATTAAATGTGATTTTGTTTGTTTGGGTACTGGGGATCAAACTCAAGACTTCGTGCTTGCGAGACAGGTGGGTAGAACACTGAGCTAAATACCTGGCCCTAAATGTGAATTTTAAAAGAAAGCAATACCCCTTGATATCTGGGGAAAGATATATAGAGCAGAAATTGACAATGCTTGTCCCTGTCCCTGTTTCTATTAATACAATTTTTTTTTTGTGGCACACAGCCATGCTATGTATTACCTGCTGCTTCTTTTCTCCTATTATGGACAAGACCTGTTTCCATGCAGATCTTGGATCTAATTCCCAAAAGAGATGGAAGAATTACTTTATTTTCATTCTCTTCTGTAAGGTATTCCAGCTACTGAGAATAGATGTGGAAGGACTAATTCTCCATGGATGAGAAGTTTTAATTTGCCTTGTAAGTAGAATGTTGAGTGGGTGACAGTGTAATTTAAGGGACCTCAAAAGGTATTTCTGTTGTCTGGGGAGGACATGTGGAAGAGAAGCCAGCTTTTCTAGGTAATAGGTGCTCCAATGAATAAGTAGAAATCCCAGCCAATGCCAGCAGAGCCCGACCATATTATCCATAGCTGCCTACAGTTATATAGGGGCTAATGGTATTCAAAATAACTCTGTCCATGTAGTTCTATAGATAATAAAAGCTTTAAATTAATATACTTCCTTTTAACAATGCTTGTTACACAGCAACAACTAACTCTTAAATTACAAAAGACAACAGAACTGATGATGATTATAATAATATACTTTATTTTTGCCATTTACTCTACTGGTAAAGTAAACATGTAGTTCTAATTCTTCCATTCATATTTATTTGATATAAATGTATTTGAAAATGACTACCTGAAATTAACTTTTACCTAAGTGAATATAGGTGTTTATGCAGGAATACTTGTGATAAAATATCATATGACTGGGAAGCAATTCAAGCTCTTGTGAAGCACGTCATTTTCTTTCTTTTTTTTCTCATTGAGTTTGTTGGTACATGTATATAGCTCAGTTGCATTCATCATTGGGATCTTGTACCTTTACATGACCGGTTTTAGTTCTTATTTTTTCTCCTTACCCCTGCCCTCCCTTCACCCCCTCCTCTCTTCTCCATTTACAAATACTTTATCTCCATTTTCTCATTTTTTTTCTTTTCCCTTATTTCCTTTCCCCTACCCTTCCCACTTGTCCTACACCTTTAGCCCTTTTCATTGACATTGTCAATTATACCATTAGGATCTTATGTACTATAAGTACATATATAGTACATATATAGTTTTTCACACCAGAGAAAGTATTTGGTATTTACACGTGTGACTTATTTATTTCACTTCAGAGTATCTCCTTAATATGTATCTGTTTTCCTATGAGTGACTCTAATTTCTCATTCTTTATGGCTGAGTAGTATTCCATTTTATAGAAAAACCACATCTTCTTTATCCAGTCTCCAACTGATGGGCGTACGGGTTGTTTCCAAGTTTTAGCTATTGCAAACTGTGCTGCTAAAAACAAAGGTGTGCATATATCACTGTGGTATGATCCTTTTAATTCTCTTGGAAAGACACCCAGGAGAGGGATGGCTGTGACAAATGGAACCTCTAATCCTAGTTTTTGGAGGTATTTCAATATTGATTTCTTTTTTTAAAAAATTAATTTATTGGTACATTCTGGGTAGACAGTACAGCTACATTCATTACTGGGATCTTGTATCAATATTGATTTCCATAGTGGTTGCACCAGTCTGCACTCTCACCAGGCATGTCATTTTCATGAAGATAAAAGTGATCCCTGAGTATGAAGTTTGTAAACATTCGATGATATTGGTACTTCTCATTCACTACCCCTGTCGTGGTTATGGCAAAATTCAGAGTGGGATATTTCATACCGAACAGTGAAAAGATTCATATTTCTAGGTGGTACTGGATGTTTTCTAGATGAAACAGAAAAATAATTCCACAGTAAAATATGAAACATTCTAATCAATCCTCAGCGAATAAACTTCTTACACATGGACAACAATATTTCACACTTCAATGATTATATTATGGAACTAAAAATAAGTTCATGAAGAGTAATACAATGTCTACTGTGGACATTCAGTTCATCATACATAAAGACTGATTTGGAGGCCAAATTAATCAATCAGTTCAAACGTGTCATTCTACATAAACTTCTCCTGTGGACATAGATTTGATAATAAGACTTTGTATATGATTATGATGAATACTCTGGACATGAAGGTGAATAAAAAATAGTCAGTGCAGAAACATAATGATCATTTAAACAACACAGTAGTGTATTGTAATCAACCAATACATACAGAACTGCTGTCTCAAAATTTCCTCTAGTATCAAATCAAAGAAATGGTTTCAGTTACCAAAAGTGTTTTTTTCCATAGAAGAACAGTACATAATTAGTTTTTTGTAACAATAAAATAGAAAGAAATGGGAGTTTTTTTTGGTATTTGTTATCCAGTGATTAAAATAGCACACAGAATATATGAAATTCTGAAGAAGAGTACTGTTTAAATATCAGAGACAATAATTTAACAAGGAGAGTTACTTAAATTTTTTTAGAAAGTTGAAATATAAGAAATAGAAATTCCAAAAAATACAAGGAGAAAGCAAATATTCCACTAATTAAAATAGTACTAATTTCACAAGATAAAAGCAATTATCATGTATCACACACATATACTAATGAATAAAAGAAATGAAAACCTTAGCATGTTCTCTTATTATCCAGTTCTGCTATCAAGAGAATCTGCTTAGTCCCCAGAGAAAAGCTTGCACAGTTTTTCTGTCAAAGAGTCTTTTCACAGCATTCTTGATGTCCATATTCCTGAGACTGTAGATGAAGGGGTTCAGCATGGGTGTGACCACAGTGTACATTACTGAGGCTGTTGAACGTGAGTGTGAGTTTTGAGTAATGACAGGACTAAGGTACACACTTAAGGGTGCAACATAAAATAAGGAGACAACTGAGAGGTGAGATGTACAGGTGGAAAATGCTTTATATCTCCCATGTACTGAAGAGATTGCACATATAGTACAAACAATCTTAGAATAAGAGTAAAGGATGCCAGTAAGGGGACCTACAACCAGCAGCACAGCTGTAATATATATAAATATGTCATTAAGACCTGCGTCAGAGCAGGCAAGGAGAATTAACTGATTAAGTTCGCAGAAAAAGTGGGGGATCTCCCACTGTGTGCAGAAGGACAGCCGCAGCACCATTAAGCTGTGTAACAAGGAATCCAAGGCACTCATTATCCATGACACCAGCACCAGCCATCTGCATAGTGAAGGTTTCATGATTACTAAGTAATTCAAGGGATAACAGATAGCTACATACCTGTCATAGGCCATCACAGCCAGGAGGAAGTTGTCCAGCACCACAAATAATACAAAAAAATAAATCTGGGTGATGCAACCTTCATAAATTATGACCTTGCTCTGTGTCTGGATGTTCACCAGCATCTTTGGGACTGTGGTGGAGGTGAAACAGATGTCCACAAAGGACAGGTTGGAGAGGAAGAAGTACATGGGGGTGTGGAGGTGGGAGTCTGAGGTGGTGGCCAGGATGATGAGCAGGTTCCCAAGCAGAGTGATCACATACATGGAGAAGAAAAGTCCAAACACTTAGGGGCTGCAGTTCTTTGTCCTCTGAAAATCCTAGAAGAAGAAATTCTGAAATTCTGGTGTCATTCTTGGGTTCCATGTTCTGTAACATGGCTGATTTTTAAATCTAGCTTCTTTGGTCTTATCCAATGAATCTTCTCAGATTGGGAATTCTGTTAGCTCTCTCTCTCATTTTTTCTCAACATATAGTATAATCTATAACTTTAATTAGCAATTATTTAATGTATGAAAGTAATATGAACTGAATTATTACCATACTGTACTGAAAAGCAAATGTTCACACACTGTAATCACTGTCATTTAACAAAATTATGCTTTTGTTAGGTTGCAGAGTGAGCACTTGACTAAAAGAGGTCCTAGCTTCGATACCAAGGGCTGAAAAAAATGATTAATAAGACTTAGATGAGGCTTTGAAACTTTTCACTGGTCAGAATTCATATATTGATAAATTTTGAGGGAATATATAGTTTTAACCACATTTTAATACTACACAAGGAATGCATGACTAAATGTGATATATTATTTCATCATTATCTATAATTATTTGTATATGAACTCATAAAAATGAAATAGTTATAGTGCATGTTATATGGCAATAATTGCTTTGAGGACAATATGGACAGGTAAACATGAAGGTGGACAGAGGTGCTTCATTTATGGTGGTGCAGGCATTGTAGACAGGATGATACTTGAACAGAGACCTCAAGGATATGGATCAGAGGAAGCCTAAAAGTTATCAGCCTAAACTTGCGTCTCTCATAATAATGAGCCACTCAGTTAAGACACTGAGGAAAGTGCTTGTTTCCTATATCACAGTTCAAAAGAAAGGCAGTGTGGCAGCTGAACAAGGAACATGGTGATGAGGGAAGGTTTGTGACTCAAAATTGTGAGGAAGGAGGTGGATTCCTTAGTTGCTGAAATGTTGTCTTACAAGGTGCAGTGTGTGGCTCAGTTCTCCCATTGCTGTGACAAATACTCATGTTTGCAGCTTAGAAACAGTTTTAATTTAACTCAGGTTGAGCAGTTTCAGTTCAGTACATAGTGGACATGCACCAAGGCAGAAACTTCATGTTGGAGAAGCGAGGAGAATGTGGCACTCACCATTTGGTGGCCAGAAGCAGAACACAGAGAAAGAACATCAAAGAGGTACTTCCATCATGTCATATCACATTATGTCGCTAGTGATGTGTCTCCTCCAACCAGGTGTCCCCTCCAACAGCACGTTCAGCTATAAATATCAGTGGAGTAATCCACAGATACATATTGTACCTCCTTCATATAAAAATAGGTCCAGGAGACTCTAAATCCATACAAATTGGCCATTAAGACTAAGCAACATAGAGAGGATCCTTTATTTAAATGTTGTGCCTTATAGTTTTGTTTTAGACGGCCTTTTGAAGCATAATTTCAATATAAAAACTATAAATATAAGATATATATTGAAAGGAGGAGAGGGCAATGGGAAAAAAAGAAGAATCTAGATATATTGTGTACAGGTACAAATTCCCTATGATGAATTTGATCATTATGTATATCTATATTGTATCAATAAATTTAATTTGAGATGTGTACAATTTTCTGAGCTCATGTTCATGCAAATCTTGCTGAGTTCGTCACTGAAATCACTATTATAGACACATCCCAAACTACCAAAGTATGTTTTTGTCCCTTTTTCTCATAATGTGTGATAGTAGCACTTAATATGAGATCTGTCTTCAAAGAAAATTTTGACATGCACAAGACTATGTTGCTAACACTAGGCGCTGTGTTGTACAGCAGATATCTAGAAATTAATCATCATAAATAACTATTGTTTAAAAACCATTAAAATAGGGCCAGGGATTTAGCGTGGTTCCACCACCTGACTTGCAAGCACAAGGATCTGAGTTCGATCCCCGGTACCAAACAAATACAAAACCAAAAAACACATCAAAACAAATAATATTTCCTCTTCTACTATCTTGATACCTCCACTTTACTCTAGACATCTATGAGTTATTTTTACTTCAAAGGCATAGTGAGTATAAATGTAAATTATCCATTACCCTCTATCTATAAGCCTACAGCTTTCTGTTTCAATATTTTTTTATTTATCACTTTTATTGGTACATTTTAGGTATACAATATGCTGACCTTCATTATTGGGAATTTGTACCTTTACATAATATATCTTGGTTCTTATTTTTCCCCATTCCCTGCCCTCCCTTCAACCCCTCCACCTCTCCATATTTACAAAGCCTTTGTTTCCATTTTTTCCTTTTCTCATTTTTATTCTTTTCTCTTCTTTCCTTTGCCCTACCTCTCCCACTTCCCTTTCCCCTTTGGACAGTTTCTTTCTATTTCACATTATCTATTAAACATTTTGATCCTTATTTACACGTTCAGGTTTTCACATTAGAGAAACTGTTCAATATTTACACGTGTGTCCTATTTATTTCACTTAAGACTATGGCCTCAATGTGCATCCCTTTAGCTATAAATATCTCTACTTTCTCATTCTTTATGGCTGAGTAGTACTTCTGTACTAAAGGATTCAAACTTTGATTTGAGAATGGCTGTACATGAAAAGAAAAAATACAAGCCAATATCCTTTATCTGAACACAGATAAAGAAATCTTCAACAAAATATTAGCAAAATTAATTCAATACTACATGAAATTTATTAATTTGCAATACATTTCTACTGTCAGCACTGCTCTGAGGATTTCTCAGGCTAAAAGACTCTGTATAAAATCTTCACCTGTCATGAAAACCTGCACTCTTTCCGCATAGAATTTGTTCCTGGAGACATTGTATGCACATCCATGAATACATCATAGCCTGATTTGCCACCATAATGCAAGATAAAATTGGATAGAGATATTACCTGCTTTATTCAGCTTTGTGCTTTCACAACGCTTATAATACTTTAGAAAATACAGAAAAATCTAAGGTTTTAAGAATTTATATAATTTCACCAATGATCAAATAATTAAATGGCCTTAAAATTGCATGAAAAATTGAATAAGAATCATAAATTAATTCTCAAAGAAAATATAAAAATATAATAAACCAATCATGTCAATATGAATTCCTAATTCCAGATTGAAATATAAAGAAGTAGAAATGAAATAATAAAAATGACAACTTTCAAACAGATTTGGAATAAACATTATGCAAAAATTGAAATTTCAAACTACATACATGTAGACTCAAATGTGCTTATAGCAATGAACACAACATAACATTAATGAAATCATGCAATATGCAAGATTGCAACATTTCGCTACCTTCCTTTATGAGGGCCTACCAAGTAGGTGAGCTGGTGCATTTCCTACATTATCTTGCTTATTCCTCACAGTAATACTGTGGAAACAAACATTGGTAACTACTATGTAGAATGGTCATCACCAAACATATAAGGAAGCACCTTTATGATCAACTTCAGTTGTATTAAAATATGGGTTGAATTTAGTTAAATGAAATCTATCTATCTATCTATCTATCTATCTATCTATCTATCTATCTATCTATCTATCTATAGACACAGCAGAGGGTGTTTTCCACTTATAAAAATAGCAAAAAAATGTAAAAAGGAAAATGAGATATACATAAGAAGGCAAAAGGCAATTTGTAATAGCTAAAACTTTGAAACAGCCCATTTGCCCATCTTTTGGAAACTGGATAGAGAAGATGTGGTCTTTCTATAAAATGGAATATTACTCAGCCATAAAGAATGAGAAATTAGATTCATTCATAAGAAAATGGATACATACTGAGGATATACTCCTAAGTGGAATAAATAAGTCATACATGTGTAAATACTGAATAGTTTCTCTGGTGTGAATAAACTGTAACAGTACATAAGATCCTAATGAAATAACTGACATTGTGAAATGGGAAGAAAAGGGCTAAAGGTGTAGGGAAAGTGGGAAGGGTAGGGGAAATGTAATAAGGGAAAAGAAAACAATGTGAGAAAATGAATAAGATGGAAATAAAATGTTTGTAAATGGGGAGGGGAGGAGGAGGTGAAGGGAGGTCTGGGACAAGCGGATAAAATGAGAACCAAGACCTGCCATGTAAAGGTACAAGATCCCAATAATGAATGTAACTGTACTATATACCTAAAATGTACCAATACACTCAATAAAAAAATAAAAAAAGAAGGCAAAAGGAATGAAGGACAATTGATTATAATTAGCATACAGAGGAACTTTCCAGGTTTGACAAGCAGTGGGTGGAGGAAATGGGTTCTCATCAGATTGGTTGTTAGATGACTTCATGAAGTATATAATTCCACTCACCCATGAGTGTGTGTGTTTGTGTGTGTGTGTGTGTGTGTGTGTGTGTGTGTGTGTGTGTATGAATTAGATTGCAAACAATCTAGTGGGAAACAATCTAGTGGTTTAGTGGGAAACCCTCCAAAATTTCTTTAAATTACTAAATCAAAATATAAAACTTCCCGATTCCCTTAAATGCAATCATGTTATATAAATAATTTCAGGTTCCAAAGATAAATAATAGGCAAAACTGTAAAATGTATTCTGCTTTGATTGCAATAAACAATGCAACATAAATTTTCTTAGTTTTCTCATTATCTGTCAAATAGATCTGAATTTCTTCTTGTATATAAACAATATGAGACAAGTCACTGTGAAATGTTTTTCTCAGAAATTGCTGTTGCAAGGGAAAATTTGGAAGAAATCAATTAGTTTGATCTCTGTAAAGAATTTAGAAAACGGCTAAATTGTAGAAAATATGCCTTTATTTCATTGTACATACCTCCTCAGAAAGTCTCAATTTCCTACACCTTAAATGAAAAATTCCTTAGCCTATAATCAGCTTAAAGGAAATGGTCTACAGAAATAATTCACTCATTCTCGTCCAATTGGACTTCATTCCCATCACCTAATGGTCACTAATAATCTATGAATTACAGAGCTAACAAACACTTCTCTTCTTAACATATTAAATAAGTTGCCACTTATCCTGTCAAGGAAGCAAACAAACAGCGATTCAGCTCTAGGCTAGTTCTCTTGGTGCACAGACAATGTCAGCTAAATTTGGTCAACTTTCCTTTTTTTTTCAGCTTTAATTGAG